CCTTTGTTCTGGATTTCGACGAGAAGAACTTTCCCTTGTGTGTCAGAAATAAAATAAATTCACATTGAACTTGTGAGCTTGTTACTTGTATCTGTGGAAAAGATAGCCTCAGTTGATATTGCACATTTTGAAAGATGAACCCCAAAATCCTATTACAGTCGAACCTGCCATGACGGCTACCTGTATAATACGGCCACCTGTACAAATGGCCACTTTCCATTTCCCCCTGGCGTTTTTTTCTGTATAATTTAATGGTGTAAAACGGTCACCTGTCCAACTTGGCCGCTGTCACCTTATTTTATCAACCCACGGTCAAATTTACCTGCCTCAGGTGGCCAGGCATGGTCACTCGTCGCCCAACGCTTTGTCATCAATTTTGAATCGGCCCCTCACGCTGTGGACGGGCCGTCATAATTCATCCACCTGTCGCTATTGTTAGTCCCGCCAATGAATGACTACCTAAGTTGACCAATGGGTAGGCCTAACGATAATTTTCAACTGCTGGTGAGGGTAGCGTGATCTGTCATAACCTATAAGCCGCGCCCACAACTCATGCAGCACACAAATCGTGTGTTAGGTGACTGGTCACTGTTTTGTTTACCTAATCTGCAACAAAGTTACAATGGATGTTGATGTGAACTTGTGATAGTAGTGTCGCTCTTTTACCGAGTGGTGGTGACCCATGTGTTTGTTTTACCATGGCGCTTGGTCTTCACCGTCTTACTTACATAACATTTCATTTATTTTACCCCTGCACAAAATCAGCAACAAAAAGAAAGCTAACCAAAAAACAAACCAACAAAACTACGACAACAAAAACCCTTCTTACACCACCCCCTCCTCTTTTTCAAAAGAAAACAAAACCCCTTTTGAATTAACCTTACAGCAGTCCAAAGATCAGCCCTGGTTTGGACCTCAGAAGAGAATGGTTTGCTTTCTTCATTTTGATCTGTCCTGCCTAAGACAGCCGCTTTTGCTATACGGCCACTTTTTTCCTTGACAATGGGTGGCCGTTTTATACAGGTTTGACTGTATATATATGTGCATTTCACACTCTATTGTTGCTCTTTGATGTATTGAAGTAGTTGTGACAAGAAGGAGAACTTATGTATATTTTCCCTTACTTATCTGTTAAATTTCTTTAAGAAAAGGAGTAATTAACATACCTTTTTGTTGATTGGCATGCATATGATCTAATTCTGCAGCCAAATTTTGGAGCTTCCCTGCAGATTCTTAAAGTGGAAATAGGAGGAGATGCCGAAAGCACTGGTAAGTATTTTTAAACTCCTGTTTTTTTATAGTAAAGTTTACTCATCTAAATGTTGAAGGAAAGTTATAAAAAGTTGTATTTTCCATTATGACATTATTTAAAAATTAATTGCAAAATTTCTGTAGTGATTATGAAATTTGAGAAAAAATCTTGTTGAATGGGGAGGGTAATTATTTTATTATTTAAAAAAACAACACTTATATATATCGGTATATGGAATTTGGAAGAAAGTAAGTCTTTCCTTTGATGAAATTATAGAACATGCTTCTTATTGTTGATCTTAGCTTTTTTTTTGGTGGTAATCTCAGAGACTTGTTTTAAATCAGGTCATGCCTGGTTGTTGTATTGAGGATAGGCTACTTGGATGCTTCAATCATAACTTTTTTTCGCAAAGCCATTGAAACTTCTCTCACCACTTGATTTTACAAGGCAGAGAGAATGACTTGTTTGACCAGCATACACTGTAGAATATTGTTTTATAATATGTATTTGCAATATTTCAATGTTTCAGATGGCACCGAAGCCTCTCATATGCATAACAGCTGGGATGAAAATTACCAACGAGGTTATGAGTGGTGGCTGATGAAAGAAGCTAAAAAAGTATGTCTGTATGTTATATGATTTCAATATAGGATTGTTAGTAACCCTACTCCTACCAATACTTTTTATGCAGATCTCATTTAATTCTTATTCAGTTCTGTTTGGTTAAAAACATAGAGCTTCAGAACCCAAAGCCGCAGTGCTTTTTTATATCTATGTTCCTGAGTTTACCACAACTGTGCGAAGTTAAAAAAAAAAAATCCCCAATGAAAGATCGTTTATTCAAACTTACAGCCTCCATCTTTGTGTGCTTTAAACAGATGATGTACTGAAGAAGTTTTCTCAAGTCTTTTTACTCTTTCCTGGAAAATTTAGGATCAAGCAGAAATTGAAAGTACTGGTATTTTAAAACTGTATTTTTCACACCCAACGGTCATTAAGATACGTGTAATTCTGGAAAATGAATTAATCTTCTGTTTTACAATTACTCTGTTCTTTTGGTAATATGATTGCAAGATGCAGCAAAGTGACTTGCATTAAAGGTATTTCTTTTTATGGTATAGACTGTTTTGTGTAAGACTCCGCCGTGTATGCCATTTTGAAAAGTGATGTATCACAGAGTCTTACCCTGATCGCGTAGTCATTGATATGCATTAATCTCCTGTGGGGGGTGGGGGGTGGGGGGCTCTTGTGGCGTAGAGGTTAAAGTGTTCACCTCTCATGCAATAGGTCCCAAGTGGGATCAGGATAGTGTGGGAAATTTTTCTTCTCTAAAACTGTCTCCTTTCACCTGCTTTCCTGCTCCCGAGCAATGTTTTGTTGTCTGTTTTCGTCTCCACTTTCTGCCCCCACCCCCTCACCTCCTTTGCCCCCTCCTCTCGGCTCCTGACTCTTTCTGCAGCCTTTCTCAGACTGCTGCTCCTTGGCCCCTTACTGCTGTCTTTCAGCCACACCCCTGATCTTATGGTAGGAAAGATTTACACCTAGCCTACTCGGACAAAGGGGAAAAATCTCGGAGGCCCTGTGTGCAAGTTGAGCGCTTTAAAGATCCCTTGGTTGTCCAAAATTGATAACAGTATGCTTCGGCCAACACCCCAGCAAAATTGAAAATTTCCCACCAAATGAAAATGTTTTATGTATCCTGTGCATTCATATAACCTTATGCAGTTGCTAGCACTGTAAAACAATTACCCATAAAATTATAAAATCTCTCCTGTTATTTTCCTTGAACAGAGAAATCCAGATATAAAACTGTATGCGTTACCGTGGGGTTTTCCTGGCTGGATTGGACAAGGCCATAGATC